AAATATGATTTAAAGTTGTACTCAGCCATACTTTCTCCTCTTCAGTTTTTTTTTTCTTATTTTTATTTTTTTATTATTATTATTATTTTATTTTATTTAAGTAGTAGGAACATGTTATTCTATGTGCTAGCGAAGTCGTTGAAAACGACTACGAGCGACACAAGTGTTTGTACACATTTAAACGTTTATCACACCACTGTCGAGTAAAGCTAACTAGTGAATATTTTGAATCTAAAAATATCTAAATTGAATCATACAATGTGTATGGTTTATAATGCATTTGACAGATTTAAATTGAACCATACAAAATGATCTGAGGGGTAACCATCAAACCCTCACCTCCAGACAATGTATATTGATTCGTGCTCTTAACGAACCAATCTCGAGTTTTAACGAGTCAAACTATAGAAGATTATATAAAAATTCTTTTTCAAGCCTTATCTGACCGAGCCAAATTCAGTTCGTTAACCAAACGAGTTTTAAATGAGCTCGAGAACGAGCCAAGCACGAACCGAGTCGAGCTAGATTCGTTTAATTTAACAACGCTAAGTACTTATGATTTTATTTGATGGACCTATCTACGATCACCAGGAATATCAATGAACTCGATTATTGCAATTGCTCATAATACCCTTTTTAGCTTCTATTTTTTAGCTCAAGATCCCTCTTAGAATCAAAGAATTAGTAGATCTGTTCCGACCAAAACGGGAATGGAGCCAGAGTTAAACTACCCACAAATTCGAAGAAAGATGGGTCAACTATCATATTGAGAACATATTCCACAATAACCGAAGAGGATTTAGGCGAGCTTGGCTCTAGAGAGTCGGTTGCTTAGTTCCATTCTAAACAATAAAGGAGAGGTACAATGTTATTTTGAGACAGTTTAGGGCCGTAAGAACTCGGTTTTCCTATGGGTACCCAATGAACTGTTAAACGAGGCCTATAAATGAACTTTTTTCATTTTGTTTCCAATAATCGGAATTGACCAACCGACTTATGGTTGGCCTCGTATATCTCTATCACGCGAACGAGGAACAATAGAGGAGAGGTTTTATGGGGAGCTCCAATTGGTATAAGGGAGGGTGAAATATAATTTTTCCCATCAATTTCTTAGATTTTGTTAGATGCATAATGAAGTGTTTTCCGTAACAAGTGTAAACATCGTGTCCCACATGAAAAATATAATAAACAATATGCCAAACATATATGGTATTGTTTTGGCTTTAAGAAATCTCATGTCAAACCAATTAACAGTACATAAGGGTGGGATCGGTGATAAACTTAATCCGAAAAAATCAATCAAAATACAAATTTAATTAACTTTAATCTAACTCTTCTATCTTCAAAATTATTAATATAATTAAAAAATATCAATCAATATTTCTTACACATCACATTAATTATAATTCACTATTCATTCATTCACATAATTTTAATTAACAATCACTTTCAATTGTTTTTATTAACTTTTATATCAAATTAATTTTAATTTAAACTTAAATTTCTACTAACAACTAATCATACCATATTTTTTAAAATTAACTACGGTTAAAAAAAATCAATTAAAATCCAATCAAATACATATCCAATCACACGAAATCTTGATTATAACAAAAAAATGACTCATTAATTAGTTGATCGAATGTCTCATAAAAATTTTGAGAATCAAGAAGTCTCGTTTCAATTTCATCTGAACTTCTCTTAAAAACTTTTGGTTTATCTATTTTGATTTACATGCCTAGAATCAAGATCTAAAATTTTGCATCTAATAAATTGTTGGAAATAATAGATAACAATAGAGAAAGAGACACTTAACAAAACTCAATATTTATTTATTTATAATTTCTCTCAAGAATAATATATACCACAAGGTTCAAACAAGTTCTTTGGAACTTTGTCCAAAAACTCTATTTCTTCCCTCTCTTGGAAATCTTTAAGGAATACAAATGGAAATGGGTTTTGGGATTGATCAAGCCTTCTAACTTTTCTTCATAAGATTTCACAAAGAAGAGAAGTATATTATGTGTTATTTGTCATGTGTGGTTACAATTGTAAGAGAGATTACTTAATGTTCACAACTCATCTTCTTGAATAAAGAACCATTAATCTCAAGATGAAACTTATGTTTAATTAATCCAAGATTAATTAAATCAATAAGTTTCAACATTTGTGAAACTCATCTCATAACATGCAATGTACATGAAACTTATCTTACATTCATGCATTGTGTAACTCAAGTTACACTCATGCATGTAACGTATAAGCTTCCTTACACCTTTGCATGTAACCTATAATCAATCTTACTTTTTATTTTAACCAAAATATAACAATCCACCACTTGGTTAAAATAAAAACCAACATTATAACCACCATAGTGAAAATGCATAAAATATAGTATCTTTCGATTTGAACTTTACCTTAGTGTAATAATCACAAAGCCTCGTCGAAATCCCAGGTTGCTTGTAGCATTGAACCAGTTATTCCTTGTGACGATACCGGTGATAACACACACATTTCACTATCATACGAACACCTATCAATTTTCTCGCTCAGCACTTTTATGGCCATGTGCTCAATCCATTCATAAACTTTCTTGAGAGAAAACTCCAACTCTCATGAGAAGCGGCACCATTTCTAAGTTCACATAGGTGAAATTCTTTCAGCATTCTCATTACTTAAAATGCTTGTCACACGTAGACTGAATTTCATTAGAAGCTTGATGCTTAACCCTCCAACCGTAACGATCAACATTTTATATTTAATATCAGATGGAACTCACAAGTTTTTAATGTTGTTATAATTCACGTAGAGAAGTATATATATAGGCGTTATTTGTCATGTATGGTTACAATTGTAAGAGAGATTACTTAATGTTCACAACTCATCTTCTTGAATAAAGAACCATTAATCTCAAGATGAAACTTATAGTTAATTAATCCAAAATTAATTAAACCAATAAATTTCAACATTTGTGAAACTAATCTCATAACATGCAATGTACATGAAACTTATCTTACATTCATGCATTGTGAAACTTAAGTTACACTCATGCATGTAATGTATAAACTTCCTTACACCTTTGCATGTAACCTATAATCAATCTTACTTTTTATTTTAACCAAAATATAACACAAATCACATGACATGTTTTCATTTCATTATTACCCCAGGAGGGCCAGGACCCAGGTGCCGTAAAGGGCAAAAAGAAAGCACCAAAAAAATAAAAATAAAAATAAAAAAATAAAAAAAAGGGCCAAAAAGAAAAAAAAGGTATTTGTACTGAACGACATCCGACCCGGAAAGAAAGCACGCCAATGACCAAACCAATTCATTTGGTTTCGGTCCTACTTTCTGCTGAACCAAATCTATTTGTGAAAATTTTGGTCCTTTGCACACATTCCAAAAAAACCAATGGCGACCGTATCTTTTATTTTGTGTTTACATATGTAGTTGAGAATTCTCCATAGACACACATCTCTCATCCTCACCATCGTCTCTCAAAATAACAGCCCTTCATCTCTCTATCCAGTTCTTGTTATCGCTGCTGTTTGTCATCGGCATTCTGCTTTAATTTATCAGAATCTGTTATTTCAATCGTTCGATTTGCAGGGCTTATTTGTGTTGTAGTTATTAATTTGCATTCGAATCTGTTTCATCGTTTTCATTTGGGCAGCCGAAGTTTTTGAATAATTAGGTTTCGTGGTACTGTTTCATTTTTTAATTTTGAGATAGTTGTCAGCCAGGGTTCCCCCAAATCTTTTATTCGGTTTGACGATGTTAGTGGCCAAAAGATCGAAGCTTTAAGCTTTCTGCATCTAGAAATAGTTCGTTTTCATTTGGAATTAGGTTTCGTGGGACTTTTTCATTTTTGAATTGTGAGATAGTTATCAACCAGCGGACCCCAAAAGATCGAAGCTTTATGCTCTTTCTGTATTCTTACATAGAAAAAATTGCTTGTCAATCTTCAAATCTGGAACTTTAACCTTACTGCATAGGAAGCCTGTCTGTGCGTTTTTTTGAGTTGGGTTAATTTGATAGTGAGGGCCCAATTTGTATTTATTTTGTTTTTCTGCATTTTGTCAATGAACGGTTTAGATTATTGGCACGATGATATGGAACTGGAAAATGGGGTAGGTTGCAAGGGCTGTGTTGAGAACGGTTTTGAGAAGGAACCTGAGACTATTGTCATTCAGGAGGCCGTGAAAGTGCTTTTGCAAGGTTTGGGTGAGGATTTCAATCGTGAAGGTTTGAAAAAGACACCTCTTCGTGTGGCGAAGGCCCTTATAGAAGGGACGAGAGGTGGGTTTTCGATTTTGGCCCTTAATGTGTTAATCAGTTTACATGGGTTTTTTTGTTCTATATAGTAATACACATTTTCGTTTTACAGTTGGGTTTTAGTAATTTTACAAGATTTTATTTGGAGGACGAGTCGGATAAGGCTATATTGTTTTGCAGCTCTATTATCTTCAATCACTAGTGCCAAATGAATTAAAGTTGAGAAAGTTGATCGAATTATCAAAAAGTAGATAGTTACCTCCAACCAATATTAATTACTTTCCTGTAATCAGATCTGAGATTTCGTTCCTTGTAACAACAACCTATGTCGTTGGTTATATTGGTTTGCCCGTTACTTTGAATACAGTTGAAAGAGAGTATGGTGAAGGTCTAGTAGAAATGACCGACAGCTTCCCTTTTTGGTGCTGGGGGCTTATGTTATTTCTTGAAATTTTTGATTGAAAATCTTATAATGATCTTGCAGAATTCGAATGATGATTATCTTTTTCTTTGGTGAAACTCTTGTGGAAATACTTCAATAACAATTCGACTTAGATACATCCTTTCTAAATTGTTGCAAACAGGGTATAAGCTGCAAGTGAAGGACATTATCAGTGGCGCTTTATTCCCCGAAACAGGGTTAGAATGCAAAGTGGGCCAAGCTGGCGGGACGGGAGGGCTTGTAATCGTCCGAGACCTCGACCTATTCTCTTACTGCGAGACTTGCTTGCTCCCTTTCCAAGTCAAATGCCACGTGGGCTATATCCCGTCCGGTCAGCGTGTTGTGGGCCTAAGCAAACTCTCCCGAGTCTCCGAGGTTTTCGCAAAACGCCTCCAAGATCCACAGCGTCTGGCCGACGAGATTTGTTTCGCTCTGCAAAACAGTTTTCGACCGAATGGCGTCGCCGTAATTTTGCAGTGCACGCACATTCATTTTCCAAATTTTGGGTCGGATATATTCGGCGCCACCTGTGAGGGCCACGTCAAGACGGTGGTTAGGTCGGGATCGGGGGCATTCGATGATGACATGGCGGACACATGGACTGATTTCCTCGGACTTCTGAGATTCCGAGGTATAAACGCAAAGGATGTCCGGTCGAGTTGCAAATCTTGGTGCCCATCTCTCGTTTTTTGCAAAAATGGCCCTTCCAATCTTGATATGGTTCGTTCGGTGAATTTGATAATTAGCTCTTTAGGCGAAGACCCGTCGAGAGAAGGGCTCGTCGGGACCGCGGCCCGTTTCGTGAGGTGGCTGATGAATTTTCGAAATGCCGATTTGGATTTGAGGCTAAATAATAATGGATACTCTTTGATCCAGACTGAAGAGAAAACAAAAACCCTTTGTTTCGAGATGAACTTGCCCTTTTGTTCGCAATGCGAGCACCATTTGCTTCCCTTTCACGGTGTGGTGCATGTGGGATACTATGGGCCCAACCCTATGGGAAAATCCCTCCTTCAGTCTGTGGTGCATTTTTACGGTTTCAAGCTACAGGTGCAAGAGAGGCTGACGAGGCAGATAGCCGAGACAGCCTCGTCTTTTCTAGGGGAAGATGTGATGGTGGTGGTTGAAGCAAGTCATACTTGTATGATTTCACGAGGGATTGAGAAGTTCGGAAGCAACACGGCCACGATTGCAGTTTTGGGCCGATTCTCAACCGATGCCCCGGAAAGGGCAAAATTTTTGCAGATTATTACGAATTCTTGTTCCGGTGGCTGCTGATTTTGTTTTGTTTTTTTTTTTTTTAATTCCTTTTTTAAACAATCTTCTATTTATTTTGTTTTTTGGTACTGGAGATTTCATGTAGCTCATCGAGCTTCGCTCGATTTATTATAAAATATAAACCGTTTTGTGTTGAAGTAGCACGATTTAATCGACTGAAGTTGGCCTGCAGATGGTTTTGTTGTGTGCCTTGGACAGTGCAGTTGCTGCGAATCTTGTTTTTTTTTTTTGCCTGTGACGGTTAAATGTGATTATGGAAGAAGGGGTAATATAGATACCTATCATTCACAGCTAACTCTTAATGCACTCCAATTTACTGCAACTCAAACAGAAAAGGCAAATTCTACTGCTACTTTTCAGTAGGTTCTTATACAAAGGCCAGGCAAATAACCACTTAGCCGGTACACTAAAATGTTCAAAACATTTGTAAATGTGGTCATCAACTTAGTTTCCTAAGCACCAAATTTTCCTATTTAGGGGCTTTGCATTGTTAAATCTCCAAACAACTTTGCAACCTCATTATTTCAATCGCATCACATTATTTCAACAATGAGGAGTAAATGAGTGTACTTCTCTTCAAGCTCTGTTATAAAATGTTTGATATGTGTTACCGAACATTTGAAGGGTTTTGGGAGATTTTGACAAATTTATGAACATTCTTTTACCACAATTCAAACAATCTGCACCAAAAATTTAGAATTCAAGTGTGTCACCAAACAAAATACTTCTTACATCCAATATTTCCAGTCATGTTTGCATCTCTTTGAGAATTAACACACCTCTAAACAATTGGCCTCTCCTTGGCCCCTATTTGATCTACCAACTCAAAAGCCTCGCACGATCGATTTCCCTAGACCAAAAATTCCACATACGGACACATTGCGCCTTGATCCCCAACACCGGCATTTCTTACAATATCAAATTTAAGCCTATCGACTTCTGGAAATCTACCTTCAGTTTGATCAACAAACGATTTGATCAGTCGAGCATATATGAATTCGTTCGGCAGTACGTTGTTTTCTCGCATTTTGATCAAGAGATTCTCCACCTCCTTCAATTTTCCATTTTTACAGAGAGCATCAATGACTATAGTATACGTATAGACATTGGGCCGGCAACCGGCCCGTTTCATGAGCTCCATCATTTTTTGGGCCTCTTTCAGATTGCCCGCTCGGCAAAGCCCATTAACCAATATAGTGTAGGTCACGACCGAAGGGCCCAAACCGAGCTTCAGCATCTTCCCCAACATGGCATTCGTCTCGACTAGCTTAACTCCTTTGCACAGAAAATCAAGAAATATGTTAAAAGCATGTGGGCTCGTCAAAAACCCATCTTTAACCATTTCCTCTAGCAGCAAAAGTGCCGATTTAGTGTTACCGATCTTACAATAACCGTAAACTAGAGCAGTTTGAGTAATTTCATCGAGACATATTCCTCTCTTTGTCATCAACCCCATAAAAACACCTGCTTGCTCCATTTTTTCCATCTTGCAGAGACAGTCAATCAATGCGTTGTAAGAATATCGATCGGGCTCGACTCCGAATAAGCCCAGCAAGTGAAATATCTTAACAGCCATATTTAGCTGGCCCACACAGCAGAAGCTAGCAACGAGAATATTGAAAGTGACAGCAGTAGGAAATAACCCGTTACTGATGATCTTCTGCAATAATTCCAATGCTCTGTGAGGCCTACCTATTTTACACAGCCCTTCAATGAGCTCATTATACGTTCGGATATTCGGCTTGCACTGCCTTCTTTCCATGAGCCCGAGCAACTCAAAAGCCCGAACCACTCGTCCTTCTTTACAATAACCGTTAATTAGCGCATTATAAGTCACAACACTTGGATTCAGTCCATCCTTTAGCATCTCTTTAAACATCCAATTAGCCTCTTCAATCTTCCCCTCCTGACACAACATATCTACAAAAACCGTGTACGTGTGAACATTCGGCTTGCCACCTCTCTTTACCATCTCATTCAACAAATCAAGAGCTCGGTCGACCAATCCTCTGTCACCCATTGCTTTAATCAGAACAGTATATGTTCTCACGCTCGGCTCACAGCCCTTTTCACTCATTTCATCTTTTAATCGACACGCCTTGTCTAAATTTCCAGCTTCACAAAGCCCGTGTACAAGAATCGAGTACACAACATTATTCACACCACAGCCATCCTTTTCAGACATTAAAGCAAACACTCTGAAGGCATTACCGAGTTCCCCAGCTCTGCAATTCCCAAGAACAAACGAGGTGTGAATATAAATATCTACAGCAAACCCGAGCTTCAAAACTCTCGAGAAAAACATTTCCCCAGCGTGAACAAATCCATTCTTACACAGAGCATTTATAACAGACCTGTAATCGATCTCACTGGCAACAAATCCATCTTCCCCCATTTTTCTAAACACTGAAAAAGCCATCAAACCCATATCCAACTTCGCCAGACACAACAGAAGCGTACTGTAGCAAGGGTAATTAACTCGAAACCCTTCCATTTCCCGCACGCCGTCAATGGCAGCCATGAGCTTCAGCAAGTCATCTACAGAACCGCTACATTCTTTGATTAGCCACACCAGCACTTTATGCAAAACCCCAAACAACTTATCGGATGCAAGCATATTCAGAAACTGGATTCTGCTATCTATATCGTAGCAGTAAGTTGATTGTCTGCAAACCCATCGGAAAAAATCGGTGCAGAGTGGAACGTCACCGGCGTGGATGGCTATGACTCTGGAAATAAATCGGGGGTTTAAGTGAGAAACGAGGGATTTGAGGCGAACGTTGTGTTCCCAGTTGGGTTTCTTGATCAGGGCCGAGACTGTGAGCACGGTGTCGTGCGGCGGCCATGGATGAGGAGTGGTGCAGAGTAATGAGACGGGTTGAAGAATGTTGAAGTGGGTTTTAAATGGCTGGAGTTTTGGTCTCAGTATCCGAAGCAACATGCCATGGGCTGAGGCTTTTATGCGTGTCTACGCAGGTGTGTGAAAGCAAAGGGAGAACGAAGATGAAGGGGAATTTGGTGGTATAATTTGGTGTTATTGTTTTCCCTCTTTGCTACCCTCTTATTTCAATTTTCAAACATTGGAGTCAAATTTCTATTGAGGTCCATTTTCCATCTTTTTTTTTCAAAAAAAAAAAATATTTATTATGTATTTATTTTATACTTTTGTAGGGGCTACAAGTTATAATTAAAGAAAATATTTCTTTCTAACCCATACTAATACAATACTCGTGTACTACACGGGATATTGAATTAAAATATAAATATGCATATATATTTTGAATAGTATAATAAGAAAAGTTTTCTAGTTTCTGTTTTTCAATAAGTTTTGTTCAAAATTATACATGTTATATGGGTCAAATTAAATAATTTTTTATTCACATTACCTTGTGCGTTATATAAAGTATGTAAAATGTTAAAAATATTTCTCACTCATAGCATAACATACCATATTATAAACATCCATAAATAATATTTCTCTGCATATACCGCAAGAATGTATATCAATTTCAATATTGTTTGTCATAACAAAATTCATAGATAAAATTACTTTTTAATAATAATTAATAGATAAATTTAATTTCTATTGAAATATTTCTGTTATTTTATATATATGATGAGGGATATATATGAAAATAATCGGGAGTCGAGTTTATTTAATAATGCAGAATTTAAAATAATAATTTTAAATGATTTTATCCGTTTTATATAAACGTTTTCAATGTCCCACCAGTGCAATAGATTATGACACTTAATAAATAAGGTCAAGTACCCTTTTTTCAGTATTAGCAAAAATTTTATTAGTTTTACAAAATTTCGGTTAATATATAGTTATATAATTGACTATGCACTGCATGTATCATGTTAAGCAACAAATATTTATTGCTTAAAGAATGTCATATTTTGTTAATAATTTTCCAAATAAGCATATGCCATATAGATTATCTATTTCAATTCATCCTTGTAGATATTTTGTATTTTTTTAATTCCAATGCATTAAATGGAGAAAATAAATAAATCTATTACAAAAATAAATATCTTGTACAACAAAAAAAAACATAAATTATAAATATATTACAGTTGAAATTTTAAAAATAATATATTCATATTTAAAACAAATTACAACCAATAATTCAATTTTTTTTGCTAAAGAAGTTGATGGATTCTGATGAAAGAGAATCAAATGGAGAGCATTATGAATGGAAATTTGGGACAACAAAGGTAAATGAATAATGTAAAATAATAAAGAATTAGGAAATAAGCCAAATAATGAAAATAAGGAATTAAATACTAATTGTTTTTGGTAATCCAAACCTAGATGTTAAGTGACTTTAGCATCCTAGTCTGCTTATATTTTCAACACAAAGCATAGATTTTTGACAAATAAGATTACGAAAGCGTGCAAGTCTACCACTTAGTCTCAGCACCTTCTAAAATGAAATTACATATAAGGGGGTGGATTTTAGCTTTTGCAATATCAACTATTTTTTTTTTTTTTTCAATAAAATGTAATATGTAATAGACGAGCTTTATGTATTGTGGGGAAAACTGCTAAAAAAATGTAATTATAGTCACAGTCGAGTAGAGAAGTCATATGTTAATGTCAAGATCAATTAGTATAGGATTTCTGTACATGACTCGGGATGAAAAGTAAATGTATAATTAGTTTGTGATTCCCACAATTAGAGGTCCGAGAACACATAAAATTGGTGTGTTACAAATTACACATTATTGAAAAAGAGTTAGGATTACAAAAGAAAAAAAGGGACATAGTAGAAATTCAAACAAATTATTTTCCTTATAATTTTTTTTTTTAAAAAAAGAAAAATTAAACATAGCATGGATGGGCTAAGGACATTAGAGAGCAAGCATAACTACTAGAACAAGAAAACCACATGTGGTCTATATAAAAAGAAAGCTGAAGTAAGCTACTAAAACATCATTCTTTACTCAATCAAACACCAAGAAACCAAAATTCAAAATGCAAGCAATTCATATACCTCGTTTTTGTTCTTGCAACTACGATGAACTTCAGGGTACCTCAATTAGCTACAGATACTGAATCATTTATTTATATATAAAAAAAAAAAATCTGTGGAAAAAAATAAAAAATAAAAATAAAACGTGGACAAAAGTAAAACAGACGGATTCTGAAAATCCGTTTTTTAGGGAAAAACGGATTTTCAGAATCCGTTTTTTGTTAATCCCGAAAGAAAAACGGATTTTGATAATCCGTTTTTCATTAATTAATCTCGTTTTTATTTAATTAAGTGATTAACCTTAAATAAATTCGAGTTTGTTTAAAAGACAGATTTTCGCAATCCGTTTTTTCTATTTAATTTTTTTTTTTTTTAAGAAAAACGGATTCTTAGAATCCGTTTTTATGTATTTATTTTTTTTTTTAATTTGTTTAAGGCTCGATTATGTTCACGAACTCGTTTATCAGCGATCGCGTTGCGTTTATTTTAACTGAATTTTTTATTCTTATCCTTCAATATTAAGATTTTTTATAAATTTCAATATAACATTTTGAACAATAAATAATATCATTTTAATATCAATTCATTCGTCAAATGATAAAATTTAACATGTATACATATATGAAACACTATATAGAAAAAGACAACCATATGTACCGACAAAAAAAAAAAGTGAACCACAAAATATATATCCAAAACCATCAAAAATAAATATCTGAAAATCCAATACAAAAAAAAAAAAAAAAA